TGGGTTGTATTAGAAAATGCATGATCGTGATGCCTTACATTCATGCCTGTAATTTTAGGGGGTGGGAGGGAATCCCAGAAAATCCTTTTTGACCTGTAGCTCTGTTGTATTGACCATCCTACCCCAGGGCTCCACTGTCTGCAGTCATTAACTACTCTGGGGCACTCTGACCATTTTTGTGAGGGAGAATGTGTCATTAGAATGTGTTTTGATTAATTATAATGACAATATGTCTGTGTTGAATGTAAAGTACATATCTCTCAGGACTTTTGTGTGTTTCTGCTGTACAAAAATAAGCTTTGATCGTGTTCTGAGACAAAAGTAGTGGCATAGATTGGGGCTGCATAAGAGTTCACATTGTCTATACATTCAAATTCACATTTAAAAGACCCAAGGACATGGGTTTGAAATGGTTGGACTCTCAATATGGTATCAGAAATGTGTCTTCTGAGAGATAATTGTTTTTTGAAGTAGCTAATGCTTAGTTTTATAAACTAGAAAATGAAAATACCTTCTGGTTAAAAACTTCCAAGCTGACACATGGGATGAGGAAGGTCTTAGAAGATGCTTTCCTTAAGGGGAAGGGTGGGTGCTCCACATTAGTATCAACCTACAGTTTGCCTTCCTAACAATGATGAATGACAGAGATTCAAGTTTGAAAACAATGAGTGAAGCAAAACAGGCTTGGGGGCCAGTTATGATGAATTGCTGGATCTGTCTGAAGAAGATACAGAAAGTACTCTGAAGGAGAACATGGAAAAATGTGCTGAAGAACAAGCTCCAGTCACACTGCTCCACCAATAAAAAAGGAAAACTGGCCTGAAAAAGAGAGCACAAAACAGGAGGGTTCTCTATGTTCTAACTCGATGATACCCACCCCATTCTCAGAGGGGAAAGGAAAGAATTAGTATCTGAGGAAGAGACAAATAATGGCTGGGGTTTCTTTCTGTAGCACTGTCAGCAGGAGAGGGCTAACTTCCGCTTATGTTTAATTTCAGAGATGGGAAATAAGACATCCAGGTTGTGGATTTTTTATTTCCTTCTTTTAAGGGACATAATTCTGAAGATGCGGTTCTGAAAGAAAAAAAAAAGTCAAATAGTTGGATCACAACCCTGGGCTTCAGGAGAGCAGGTTTTGGCCTGTTCAGGGATGTCATGGGGTACAGTCCAGGAGAGAAGAGGGGTCACTGAAATCTTACTGATTTTTTGAGGATTACCTCATCTGAGCTTGAGAAAGGTCCATTAAAATGGGCAGGAAATAAACCTAAAAAGTAGCAGGAGGCCTGCACAGATAAACAAAGAGTTGCTGACAAACCTCAGACATGAAAAAGATGCTTCCACAAGAGGTGGAAGCAGTGTCAGGTCACCCAGGAGGTGTACAGAGTTAGTGTCCAAGCATAGGGAGATGGTCAGGAAAGCCAAAATCTTCCAAGGGCCATGAAGAGCTACAGGAAAGGCATCTACACATGTATTGGCAACAAAAGGAAGACTAGGGACATGTGGACCCACTCGGGGAATTGAGCAGGGAACTCAGCAAGAGCAGCGTGGAAAAGTCTGGGATAGTCAGTGGTTTCTTCAACCTTTATTGGTAAGATTTGGCCTCAGAAATGCCTGGTCCTTGAGACCAGTGGGAAAGTCTGGAACAAGGAAGACCTAGGCTTGGTAGAGGGGGATTGGGTGAGAATACAGGAAATTCTATTTACTTTCGAGAAAAAAACACTTTTACTCTGAGGGTTATCAAAGGTTTGACCAAAAGGTCTGACTCCATCTCTTCAGATTGAATATTCCAGAGGTCTAAGTCAGCACATAAACTTACCCAAGATAGTAGCTACTTACCCAACTGTTGACATGTGTTCTTCATTTGATTTGAGATTTCTTATTACATCACTGGGCCTGCATGTGCTGTAATTAAATACAGAACTGGACATTCCTGGACTTCTGTTAAAACTGGAAATGCCAAAATGCACCACTAGGAAAGGGAGGGGGGGAAAAGCAGATGTTGAAAGGTACCTCTCATGCCATACCCCTTAATAAAATTAAAATACAGCAATGTTATGAAAAAGTGCAATTGTGCAGCTGTATTGCCAAACTGTAATGGTAGTTAAAATGAAAAATCCCAAACTCGGCACTCTTTTGTCTCCGTGGTTAATATTCCTTGTCTCCTGTTATTCACACCTTAATACCTGTGCTGAAATGACATGCCAGGTCTTACCCAGCTGAAAGGCTGTATATGTAACATGAGCATCATCACATATATTGACTAAGCACACCATCTCTACAAATTCTGTGATTTTACATTTCTTTAAAAAAAGGAATAAATCACTGATAGATTTGGGTAAAATAAACTACTGTAAAATTTCACTGTGAGCAGTAGCCTTATGGCACCCAACTGCTATTATCATTAGTGAAGATACTGAGATCCATTGTTTTCTTACTCTATTTGGAATTTGAGTCCATAAACTTTTATGAGCTATAGTTTAGATAATGTTAGGAAATGGCTTGTCTGGAGCTAAAATTATCTCATTGTTTGAAACAGGCAGGGACAGGTTTTGGTCTTCTCTACGTTACTCTATTTGCTATAAAACAGATCTTATCTTTTAAGTGTTATGGAACTGCACATTAAATTTCTGGGTTTATACATGGAAATAGAGTAGATGTGGCTTCTTGATGTCTGTGGCTGCATATGAGTACAATAATTAATGACCTAGTTCCCAGGAAGAGAGATGTATGGAAAAAAATAACCTGAAAGAATGTTATATTCTCTTGGGGGCTTTTGTAAGAGATTCTCAGGTTTATCTGTGTGAGTATCTTTATGATTGTTAGAAATGTGTTTCCTCTGACGTATTCCCATCACAACTGGGATTAGCTGCATTCTGGAGGCTGAGTGTGAATTTGTTTACACCATAATAAAAGACAAGAGCACTTTTATCACTGAGAATTTTTTTTCCCACTAGGATAATACACTTAATATCTTCTGGTCAGTTATACTTAGAGAAGAAGATGATTTTTTTAAAGTGCTGTTATTTTTGCAGCACTCAATAAAGATTTGTTCTTGCTGATGGCAGATGAATCTCTGGGAATTACTGTACTCATGGAAAAGGATGCTCTCAAAGAACAGCTCTGCCGTGGATCCCTGGGTTCAGGCAGTCACTCCGAGATGGAGTTCACACTGTGCAGACAAATTCAGTGTTGTTTGTACTGACAATGTACCAAGTGAGTGCTCCACCCAAAAGCAGAATTGAGGTCTTAAGAGAGAAAACCTCTGAACAAAGGCACTGTCAGAAGGAGCTGGAATTTGTAATGTTCAGAATTATTGTTCAGCCCTACCGTCTCCATCTCGAAGCCCCCAGATTTTCAAATTCGAGGCTCTGATTCAGGCTGGCTTTTCACTTATGTTAATTGTTTTCAGACAAAGATTTTTTTATTTTATTTTTTTTTCTTCTGTTAAGAACCAGTAAAAAAAATGAGTTCCCTTAGAAGTGCCTCCCTTTTGCTATATATTTCTTAATTGACTTCTTGGCATAAGGAAGGGAGCAAGTATGTCTAGCTATTAGAGTAGCTGTGTGAACTGGGAAAGCCTCCAACTTCTAGAAATATATTTAAAGGCTTCAAGAAGATCCAAATTTCCAAATAACTTTTACTCCTTTGCTTGGTCAGCTGTCAGTATTTGATAAATAGGGTGGGACTATTGTCAATATTTAACAGCTCAACACAAATATTATTCTTCATACACTGTAAAAATAGTATATGAAATGCAAATAAAGTGCTTTATTCCAGGGTTTGGTAGTAACAGAAGCAAGTGATAAAATCTCCCTTGTCTCCATACAAAGGCATAGAGAGGGAGAAAAATGTTACCAGTGGTAACAGTCTTCCCTGCTGGGAAACAAAACAGTGAGATTCCTCACTCCTCCCACCTAAAGTCATGTCCCAGGGAGGGTTCTGGGATAGAAAGTTGTTGTGATGTGTTTCTGAGTAAGAAACAGCGAGGTATGATATTAATTGAAACCAGATTACTGTGAAGTCTGCAGGAACAGAGCTCCTCCTGTCTCCAGCAACACCACCAGGACCCCTTGAACTGCTCTGCAGTCACATAGTGCAATATAAAACTCGGATATTTCTGGGACTTTCCCTAGGTTCAGAAAAAATCATGCCACAAAGCCACCATTTGGCATTAGCCTGCTGGATGGAGCAGCCTGCCCTCTCCATAGGCATCTGCCTCATGACCGTGGCATCACCCTGAGGAAAATCCAGGTGCAGAGCAGTCAGTGTGACACGGTTCAACAGGTATCAGAAACAGGCTTGGATGTCACTTCCCAATCTCGTGTTCCAAAATGGTTTCCCATTACTTAAAATCTTTAGGGACCTTATCTGTGTGAATGGTTTGACATAACAGCCAGGAGATATTACTTTTTACCTAAAGGAGAGAAGCTGTGTGGGGGATGTCTGGGCCACAACCCACCGTGACAGCCCTGGCGGGTGTGCTCTGCAAGGGTACTTGTGTTGGTAGCTACATTAGGCCACCACCCACACAAAACAAAGGGGAAGGAACAGAGCCAATTTATTTAGGAGCCTTTCAGATCTAGCATTGTTTCGGATTTGGCTTCTGTTCAGTGTAAAATGCGTTTTGTGTGTTCCTAGAGCTGCCCTGTAGAGAGGACCCTGAGGTGGTAGGGAACAGCTCAGTTATTGGAACTGTAGTTTGCTGCTTACTCTGTAAATTAGTGTGAGTAAATCCAGGAAGAAATACAACTAACAGTAGAACTTTATTATTCCGTTTTGTCCAAAACAGCTGTGCTGCCTTACCATTAGTTCTTCCTCTAATCCTTTACCAGGATTACTGCACTGTTAATATGTTTCAACTGTCATCCAGAAAAGTCAGATCTCAAAGCCTATGCAATCCTTCTCCTGTCCATCCCACGAGGTAGTGCCCCACTGAGAACTGGAAACCTGAACAGTCTTGATTACAGACTGAAGGACAATTTCAGAGCACTTTAAGAACATCATGTTCCTGTACACTTCTTGTCAATGAAGAGGGAGTTTGCCTTCACAGAAATGTTGTCTTCTGGCACTGATTTGTGGAGGATCAGTATCTGCAGAGTGTCATGTACTTCTTGCAGGCATCACTTGAAGGCCTGTATGATGTTATCTATAGTGGAAACTTCAGTGGCCCTTAAAAAGAGAAGGAGACAGGTTGCTCTCATAACTTCAGCTGTCCCTCACCCCATTCCTGTTTTTAAAGTGGACAGGTCACACTTTCAGGCAGGATTTGTACAGCTGTCTTGGACTGAATCAGTATGAAACCTATTTGCCAAACTAACTTGCAGAGCACCTGTAAGAAGTGATGCCTTCTTGCTTGTGTTGACCTTCAACAGTGGATTAAGCCCCTCTGATATATCTAATTGCTGTATTCACTTGCAGCCTCTCGTTTGTGCAGCCTCTCTGGGAGCATCATGACTGTGTTGAACACTTGAATATGGTCCTGTAGAATCCATTTGGGATGGATGTTACTAGAGAGTGTTGGGGTAGTTCATGATAGCTTAGACTGGTAAGGCAGGATGTGCTAAATGGTCCAGATTTGGCACAGAAGCACATTAATCAGAACCACTTTGCCAGAACAACCACTGAATGTGGGGCTCTGAAATCAAGATGTTCTGTGAGCTGATATTGGCCACGCTGCTTCTCATGGCTTGTCAATGGACATGAGGCAAATCTTGTGTAGTCACTGAGCTGGTAAACTGCTCCATGCACTATGGGCTATAAGAAAGATTGATTTTTCCAGAGACTATTTAACTCATCTTAGGATAGTCCCAATTTTTTAAGCACAGAAAAACTAGACTTTATTAATTTGTTTTCTGTCTAATCCCTCCAACTACAAAGTTGGCAGCACACACAGAGAACAAATGCCAACATCAGCACTTCCTTTTAAATAAACAGCAACTCAGATAACATTTACATGTTACAAAGAAGTGGTTCATTTGATGTTTTCTTTCTCTATTGCAGCTGAGCTATTGGGCTGAATTCTTCTTCCTTTAAACCAGATGAGAGAAATACACTTAAATTATTTAAAAGCAAAAAAATCTTTTAAAAGTGAAGTAGCAAATGGTTTTACTTTCTCAGATAGGATTTTTTCTGTAAGAAAATGCATTTTATTTGAGACATGAGCTCAAGCAAAACTGTGCTGGAAAAAAACTGTCCAAATTTCAAAATCCCTGTCAGAATTTCTGTTTCTAATTGCAGTTCTGATGAACAAACCATTTAATAATTTTAATCAGCCGCAGTGTCCAACATAACTTGGTCTGGATTAGGGAGCTGTGGTAGAGTAAAATTTATATGCATTGGAGGAAGGAGAACAGGATATGCTAATTATCTGTTAAGATAACTACATCTAGTAAACATTGTACTTGTAAAAACATTTGGGTTAAAATAGTAGAAATCATATTAGACTGACAGAAAACTTGCATGTATGTTAAGCCTAAAATACTTCTGAATATCTGTGTGACAGTCCATGAAGCTCTCACTTCAGAGCTACCAGGAGTTAGCTTGATTCAGAGCCCCTGTGTACTTCTGGGCTTTAAGTATGTCATGGGAATGTCCTTTCACTCTAATTGAAGAAAAATTCAAAGACATTCTGGTGTTCGAGAGACTTCAAGTGAAGCTTCCAAATTGTTTTTAGACAGGACCCTTTGGAACATCAACAGCATGACTGGTAGTTGTGGGAAGAAAAAGGGATAATGTGACAGTCTGCATTTTTGATGCTAAATGAAACATGTTTTGTACCTTGGATGCCTGCAATCCTGCTGACAGGACTGATATCAATCCTAATGCTGCAGTTTTGTGGGAGAGATCTTCGGGGAGGATGTAGAGCACAAAACTCAGAGTGAGCCTGAAAGTTGTGTATTAATATTTAAGGCCATCTTGCTTTGTTCAATTTGTTGGGGGATTTTAATAAAATTATTATACTGTCTTACATGCCTGCCTAATTGATGGTGTGGCAGTAACAGAAGTGACAAATTATCTGCTCCCATAATAAATGTGGCTGCTAAGTGAATGCTACAGTGTAATCAGAAGCTTCTTCTGGTTTCTTGCAGCTGAACTCCTGTGTCTGGAACAGGCCTGATTTATGTGATATGAAAAGCCACGTGAATAAATCTATCCAATTGGGTATAAAAGAATTTGGATCCAAATCAATATTTTGTGACAGAATAGACATGGAGAGCAGAGCATGAAGTTGGAGAAATATGGATGCGCCAAAGGAAATGTCAGGATCCTATTAAGGAGGTATGAGGCTAAAAAAAAGAGATACATTACATTCTACATTTATGGTTTAAGGAGTTAGAAAAAGTGAAAAGATGCCAGTACAATAAACTATGATTTATTGCCACTTCCTTGTTTGAATAGAAGCTTTTTGAGCTGATAAAACAGTTTAGTAAAAATAATATACTCAGTTGAATCATTATGTACTTCATTAATCTCATTGTATGTGAAGCTGTTGTGTATAGTAGGGTTTTGCTAGAGACAAAAATGAAAAGGGAATAATTTTCTACTTTTCATTAAAATATGCAAAATTCTTTTACTAGACTGTGAAATTCACTCCAGCTGTGAGAAGAATTTCTTGGGTAAACCCCCACAGAACAATTTGACAACAGTATTTTAAAGAAGATGTACTTGACAGTGTTCTTTTGGAACACTGACATGTTCTGACTGGGTTGGAAGGAGATAAATGCGATTAAAATTCAGAAGACCCTTCAGTCATTAGGGAAGGCTGACTCATATCTCAGACATCTTCCCATCTATCCAGAAAGACACAAGGGATCACAGCACAGGGACCACCAAGCTGATGCCAGCAAAGCCTCCCCACTTTATAGCCAAAATATATGCCAAATGAGCTAATCTGTACCAAGACTGTACTGGAGCCATCATATAGTTGGAAATTAGTTGAGCCAGTAAGACATGCTGCCTCATTCCTGTTTGCAATTAACTTTTTAAGGAGCCTGATGATCAGATAGGGTTTTTTTGCGTCATAAGACAGACTTTTGTCTCAGATGTTCCTAAAATAGGTATCTCCCAAAGTGAAGTCTTGTTTCCTGTAGGATGGAATTAAAATTAGTTCCTAAGTCCTAACTGAATCCCAAAAGAAATCAACCACCAACAAGCAATTGAACTCCTAACTGTCCTGGCAGAGGGATTCTAAAGATAACTACACACATTGGAGTTCTAAAGGCAACTACTCATGTTGATGTTTCGGCCCATTATTTCAGTGCAGCTGCTTGGATTTTACTTTTTTTTGTCCCAGAATTGAATCTCAATGTGGTGAATGCAACACTAATCTCATCAGACTGATTCACACTGTCATTGAATTCCCTGTTCTCCAGTGGCTGATGAAGGAAGAGATGGAGCAGTCTGGCCTTTCCTTACTGAAACTGAGATGCATCACAGCAAAGTCCATTATTGGGTCATTTCATTCTTCCCTGCAGTCAGGTCTGAGTCACTTCCAGTGGGTTCTCCTTTGTCTTTAGGATCTCTCCAGTAACATGATTGTAGCTTCTGTCTGGAAGATTTCCTGAAGCATCTGAACAAAGCAGAATGTTTGTGTAAACCTCACACACATATAAGGTCAGAACTCACCCCTGCTTTTAAATACTCCTGTTGGAACTGCTTCCATTCTGGAATTTTGGTCAATTTAGGGGAGGAGTTTACTATAATCTCACATCAATCAGATTGATTTGTGTAACATTGGCTTGATCTTGCCATTTCTCTAAAAGGACATAAATCTCTCAGGAGAGCCAGAAGGAGGAGGCCTTGCAGTCATACATCACATGAAAGCATTTAATGAAGTTGTTCCTGGAAAACAGGTGAACAACTTCCACTGAGAAATGCACCATTTCTTTCATATTATAAAATTATGAAATTTATAGGCAAATTGGAATATAAGTTTATGACAACCAGAAGAGAAGCAGTGAATTATAGCAATGGGGCAATTACAATCATGCTTTTGTGATAAAGCCATTTTCATAGAGGCAGTGTTTATAACTGTACAGGGATCTCTTTGCATTTTGCTTCACTGTCTAATTTTATTCTAAGTAAAAAAACCTGCTGCTTCATCTGTGAACATTTTGCAGAGGTAAATTCCAATAAACTATCATTTTCATTTAAACCTTCATTCAATTCTTAGTTCCTTTTGCCTTATAAAAATTCAAAATCAAGTATGTCCCCTTAGAAATTGTTTCATACTCCAAGTATTTTGGGGACATTTGCTGCAAGAACATATGAACACAGATCATATTTCCCTACTGAAACTAAATTCTCAAAGTTTTGAAAACTTCCATGGGAGCTGTAAAGGGAAGACTAACTTCCTTTAAAGAGCTATTTTCTGTCCATGGGGAAGATAAGGAGTAAACATCACCAAAAAGGAAAGACCCATGGAATGAGTATAGCACAGTTTTCAGTTGCAGTGCATGTTATCATATAATCATATTATCCCTGAGAATCCTCTAGTGCTTCTTGTATGTTTTAATTTGTGTATGGGAAAAAAGAGAGAGAGATTGCAAGGCAAAAGTTTTGTTCAGTCTTCAAAAAGAAAGAAGAGGGAAATTGTTTGTATTTCCTAACCAAATGATTATTATGTTACTCTCATTTATCCAGATTCAGTGTGGAAAATCTGTTTAAGCTTTTCCTGTAGACAGTTTTAGAGTGGAAGAGGACAAATTGAACTAACATATTTTCTCAGCCAGTCTACTAAAATCAATGCAACTTGAATTTCAACAACCACTAAAAATGACATAATGTGATTTAAATTATGGTGCCATTTAGATCTTGTCTACACACTAAGTTGTATCAGATTTGCTGATGATGTGTGTGGTTTGAAAATTGAAATAGTTCCTGCTGCTGAAACGTTGTTTATGGACAAAACCCAAAGAGGTAAGGATGCCAAGAACCTGCATCCCAGTCCAGATCCTTAAGGGTTTGTTGACACTGTACATGGAGCAATGTGGAAGATCTCCTGGCTAACACTGTCCAAACCTGCTCAACCCTTACAGCAAAGCAGATTTGCAGGGGATGAATCACTTTGGACCCCAAAGCAGCAGCATGTGAACATGACTGAACATTTTAAGCCACTTCTCCACGTTGAACTGAGCCCTCACAGGTAGTTTCTCAAGACCTAGCCAGCTTGAGAGCATCTTCACCAAAAAAGGAGCCTTTACTGATTATAGACTGAAGAGAAAAAAAATCTGGTTTGTTATGAAAGGAACTCAATATGGAAGAAAGTGAAGGTAAGAGCAGTAAATTTCCCCCTGTAATTTAATTCTGCAGTGGTTCCTTCTTAATTAGATACTCACTGTAGGCTAGCTGTGATTTAGAGGAAATATTTATGTAGGTAATTCAGTGCACTTTGGTAGCTACTTGTTTTGCAGCAGAACTACTTATGGTGAGTGCAGTGTTGGATACATCATTTTACATCTTGTCTCCAGTTTTACTGGTTACAGAAAGAGACTTAATGACATTAAATATCTTCATTATGCATCAAGCCCACATCCTTCCTTTTCCCTGAAAGCACCAAGGATTTGGGTCTTCTGCTGCTCAGAAGCAGACTTTGAGTAGCTTGCACTGTTGTCAGAACTTTATTGTTTTATGTTGTGTGTTCATCTGGAGGTGGCAAAGGTGAAGTCCAGCTCCTGGGCAGTGCTGGTGATGAAGCAGATGTGACTTGGGGACAGGTTTACAACCCTGTCAGTCCCATCCATTGCTCCCACTGTTCACTGTTCATGACTGGGCACAGTCATGTCTCAGTTTCAGAAAGCATTGAGTGGATTACGTTTTCTACTTCTGGTGGAGCAGAGGATTTCTCTTGGTCCAGATCCTGGGTAGGACCTTTGTGGTTCAGACTTTGGTCTTTATTGGTAGTAACACTTTCTTAAGCAGCAGTTGGAAATGGTGATTCAACTTTGTGGGGCAAGTCTGTCAAAGAAACAATACAATTAAAGCAGTCTAGAGCACTTGGTTGGCAGTGAAGCATGACAGTGAAACCAGCTGCCAGAGCAGTGCCACAGCTCACACAGGTGCAAGTGTTACAGTGAGTGTGTCATGCAGTCACTGTGCTAGTACTGTGATGGTATGATTCTATTATTTTAATTTATTTGGTGAATTGGATTAGGTTGCAGGCTGTCTTACCACGAATTACTTCTAATTGTTCTAATGATTTGAGAAGAGGAGGAAACTAATGTTTTCTGCAAGAAAATGTCTGCAAGCACATTAAACACAAGGAGGGCATCTGATTAGTGCTACTGAGCAAACCCCTCATTCATTCATTCACTAAAAAAAAAATATTGTTTAAGCCTGCCTGTGAACTCAAAATTCAAATGTGCAATTATACATCCATCTTTAAGCCTTGCTGGGCTTCATGTAAGTGGATGTGGTTTAGGTTCCTTGTGTGTTCTCAAATTTTTTTATTTTTTTTTTATTTTTTTTCAAAAAAAATCACTGGCATTTAAGCCATACAAAGAAAAATGGCCTCAGGGGAACCACCTCCAGTGCATCACAGGAGCTTTGTGCAAACAGTTTTCGATTACTCACTCCGGCCACACATTGGATGGAATGGTTTAAAGAATGTGCTGCACATGAAGGGATTGGTGGGGAGGATCACCAGACTGAGCTGCTCCAGCCCACGTCATTCCTGGATGACCTCCAAAGGCAGGAAGCAAAAACAACAAATGCTGAGCAGCGTGTTCCTAGGAGAGCCTGGTGGGGCACCGGCAGCTGCACATCCGGAAACTTTCCCCTTCCAGGACATGAGTAAAGTTTTGTGCACAGCATTCCTGTGAGCGTGGACAAAACTGCTCCTGCCACTCATTTTACCAAGGCCATGGTTTCTGTAGGCTGGATTAGCTGGACCGAGAGTAGTGCCACATGTTTCATCATGTACTCAGGGTAGTCTTAGGTACAACATAAGCATTTTTAAAATGCTGAAGCCTGACCTTGTTTCTTTGTTGTTTCTGAGGTTAAACTACCTCAGTACTTGCTATCTGGATGCAAAAAGCAGCAGCTAAACAGCAGTAATGTGGTGGGAGGAACATACTTGTGCCTCCTCATTTCGTAAACTTCTTTAATATTTTGCGTCTCAGTTAGTTTTTCTAAACCCTTTTCATCCATGTTTCCACATTTTGCCTAAATTATAGTGTAAAAGTTAACATTTGTTCAAGTTATACTTAACTGAATAGTGTCCTCATGACTGATTTCACAATTAATTTTTTTATATATGCCACATTATTTCAAAGTAAAACTATGCTATCCTGCAATATTTGGATTACAAGCATAACCCAGATCTTCAATCTGAAATCATTTTGGACCTGACAGTTTTTACTGTCATGTCATAGACACGTTCTTGTTTCTCCACTTGCCCATAGTTCATACTCTGATGGACTCTGTGCAAGTCTTTTTGACCCTGTGAGATAAGGCAACCATTTTAGGAGAGCGATAAATCTGGTTTTGCCTTCAAATGACTGCCTTAACTTCATATCTGTAATTTCCCTTGGTTTGGAGGCAAAAGTCTATTCCTAAATAACCATTTCCTCCTTCAAACAGGTTTTTCCAGAAAATTTTTAGCTGTCCCCACCAAGCAGCACACACCTTCCCAACCACTTCTGAGTCACCCTTCACTAATCACCCGAAAACATTACTCTCAAACAAGTTCTAATATTAGATTGTGAGATTAACTGTACTCACGGGCACCATGAACGGGCATGAGAAACTGTAAATAACCGAGATTTTAAAGCACCAAAAGAGGAAGAGGAAAAAACAAAATCAACAAAAATATGTTTAAAAAGTTATGGGAGGATAGATTGAGGTCTGAGATGAAAGGATCTGTGGGACAAGTGCCAGAGGGAAAGTATTCCCTCTCCTATACCATGTCCTCCCACAGCTCCCGACGCTGCTGCTCCTCTCTGTGCTGCTTGCGTGGGCACCTCCCATGGAATTTTGGTATTTCTTTATTCCCATTTGGAGGAACAGGTTATGTCCTATGCAAAAGCCGTAGGAGGGCTCCTTTCAGACCTTAGATAAGAAGTTTGAGGCTGGGAGGCAGTTTCTGCTATTATTGCCACTGAGGTTTTCCTGACTTTGTTGAATGTTAGTTGTAAAATTAAGTAGGCTCTCCCTTGAATTAGAAGAAAGTTGTGTAAATATAAAATGTATGCAATTCTTCTAGGCACCATATAAGCATACTCAATAGTTGCTAAGACAAGAAAGTTTTTTACCTTAAATTTATAAATCAATTTAATAAAAATAATGTGGGAAGGATGTAGACTCTGAGGCAGTAACTTACTAAAACAAAAGACTGTAGGTTCTTCAGGAGCTGTTTCTAAAAGCACACATTGCCAGTGAATTGAGTGGAAATATTCAAAACCACGGTGACTTGTTTATTGGAGTGGGTGGTTGCTTTTTCATGGCTTTACTAAACATGTACCTGTTTTTCTAGCATCCTTCTGATCCCTGTGCTCCCAGGGGAACAGCAGGGCTTGCAGGGAGGGTGGGCACTCTGCCCCCAGGCACAGGAACACTTCTGAGCAGGTGTTGGAGCTGGCAGGGATGATCTTCTGTTTAGATAGGGTGTAAATACTGGACTATGTAAACATGTCCCTTGCTGTCTGGTCTGACTGATTCCCAGAGCTAATGTACATAAACACCCTGCCCTATTGGCTATTTCCAGGAGACTGAAGCCAAGGTAACTATTTATGTTAATATTCACTTTATGGAAAAGAGACACAAACGTATTAAAGGGAGCAGGCACCACAACTGGAGGTTTTCCTTCTGTTCCTAAAGATTTGTGTCTTTTTGCACCAAATGTAAAACATATTTATCGTAATGTCTTTTGACACAGACTGTTTCTTGAGGCACCCTCTTCTACACTGAGCTGCCTACACTGTATTTTCTGTTCACCAGACTAAAGATGTGGTCCTAAAGCAGCTCTGAGCCTGACCAGAGTCATATGTTGGGATTTAGACTCCTCAGAATATTTGCATCCCCAAATAACCACAAGCTCTGTGAGCCCAGTGGTGATGAAATACAGTGGAGCTGTCATACCTCCTTTGGCTTGTGATCCAACCCTTGACAAGTACCTCACTGGGGCTTCTGGGCTTCTGCCTCCAGCACCTCATAGTTCCAGTGTTCCACTGTCCAAATTCTGGATGAACTCACATTATTATGACCAAGATTAAGCCCAGAATCAAGTAAGATAAATTAATCATAGGCTTCTATGTGCCAGGGATATAAACAGAAGAAAACGTGCCATTTCAACATAAGGTCATTTTTAGATCATCACCATATTCCCACTATTTAATCTTTCATGTAGTTTTTGACTCTTTCCCCTTTAAGAGTACTGATTTTTAGAAACAAATGGTTGCAGGAGGTTCCCTGTATGTTGTTTTGGGGTTTTGATCTGGAAAAGATTTTGCTGTTTCACAAATCAGAAAAGTATTTTTCATTCCAAAATGTGCTCCAGACCTCATTAAAATAACAGCTTTTCCTGCTTTCAAGATAGGAAATCATTTCTATGTTAATTTTCCTGACATTTTTCTCTCATTTTATGAGAGCTACCCTGCTTAGCTAGGAAAATAGTTTGTCAGAAAGAAGGATGTCTCGGAGAGTGTCATTCACTGCTTGAGGAAATCAGTGCAAAACCAAAAGACTGATATTTTTTAAACATAAACCCCAAAATTGTGGCACCCATTTTCTCACTGCTATTAGATGAGAAGGGAACAGGAGCTGTAGTAGCTGCATTGACTATAATCACACCCCAGTGGAAGAACAGATTTCTGGTAGGATTTAAGAATTAAGCCAATGGCTGCTGTATTAAAGCATAACCCAGCAATGTTTTTTTCTCTAATTATTACAGACTGGAGAAAGAAGAAAGGCTTACTGATTGATACCTGTTAGATGGACACTCATCCATACTCACTTCTGCCCTCCCTTGCCTTCTCCTTCCTCTGGTTCCTCTGAGGTCAGGAGTGAGAATTAACAGCACTTCTACCATATAACTTCACCCAGAGCTTAACCAGCAGTGTTTTTGCTCAGTGAACCTCTTGTATTTTCCTTTCCTTTGCCAGTGCTGACCAGCCTGAATTCCTCCTCACCAGCACATGCTGTTTGCTTCCCCTCCAGCATTTCGTTATCCTGATGTAACTACATTACTATGGAGTTTGTGATGAGTAAAGTATCTCTGCTATGTGTGTGCTAGCTGGTAACTCAGCAGAAACAGCAGCATTAGTTCACAGAATTCAATCTTCTTTGACTTTTTTATCCATGTATACCACACAAATTAATTATTCCTTGTACGAATACTCAAGTTTCTCCAGGTAGCTTATTATTGCTATTTAATGGTGTGACAGCATAGGGACATAACTCTTGTTTTTTCCATTATAATCCAGTTGTCAGCAGTTATGTCCCACTGTCAGCTGGACTCCATGACAAAACCCCTGCTCATGTGTCAGTATCTCACAATGCACTTTGTGATCCCATATGTGCACCCTGTGCTACCTTAGGCCATAAGTTATTTTATAAAAGGGCACTTAAAAGCAGTAGAAAATACCAATGGAAAATGTGAAGCAAATGTTCTTACCTGTAAATCCATGAGAAACTAAGATGGATGGCCAATTTAGGGATAAGGTGCTGTGGTTGGCCAGACCATATACAACTTAAAATACACAAAAAACTACATCTTTCATGTTTTGTAGGCATTGGAGGAAAGAAAAACCCAAATAAACATGTATTTAAGTGCTGTGCTGTGAGCTTACACTTATTTAGCTGGTTAGTTTGCACTTTCCTAAGAGTCCCTAAAAATAAACTGAAAACATCTTAAACTACTTATGACAAGTAGAATGGCAGGAAAACTCTATTGTTTCCAAATGTGCATTGAAAAAAAAATGAGTAAATGTGAGCCTGCTCAATAAGAGAAAGAATCTTACTGGAAGAACTTAAAGACCTTACAGTAGAACTCTGACTGAAGCCATATGGAAGTAACACAGTGAGTCTTGCTGCTTAACAAGATTTTATCTGTCAGTACAAAGTTAACCTTCAGGTCAACTTCAGAATATATATTTCAAAACTCAACTAATACACTTACATTTGTGACTTAGTGAAAACTTGCTGAAAAGGCAGTACAAACAGAGACTGATACAGGTCTGTCTTCTTCTGAGCCATTTCTGCCTTGTATAATAGGAAGACAAAGGCAGAACAAATGTTTGAAAAGTTTACTGTGACCCACTTGGAAATAAGAGATTGTTTCTGTCCAGAACCAGGCCAACATTCAGGCCAAAGATATGGAAATGTGTTTATGAAAAGGGAAGGAAAACTTGGAAATTAGGTGTCAAGGACAGACTAATGACATTCTGTATGTAAATACTTCTACATTTTAGTTAATTTAGGGCTCTCCCCTGGCTGCTTCAAAATAAAAGTGCAAAAACTTAATCATCTTCTTCCTCTAAAACATATACCTTCTAAAACATAAGACATAAAACAGGATATGCCCTGGCTGTTTTGTGGGCCTTTTTATTTGCACACTTTCCAAAGTTCATTCACTGTTTAAAAATAAAATAAAATTTAGTGTACTATTTCTGTATCAGAACATGGACAGGGAGTATCACCAATTAATGTAACATCAAAAACATACTATCTAAGATGTCTTTCCTCAGTTTAAACATGTAAGTTGCAAATGAACATAATCAGTATGTGATTAAGGTTTCCTGTGAAACTTTGTCATCTGCCTGTGAGCAAACTCTTCTCAGGCCATGTGTGAGTCACGTGCAGCTCCAGAAAAGGTAATACAGGTCTATCCTTTGAGGAGGTGCTTATTCAGGGTGGATGGAAACTCCAGAGAACATTTCTATGCCTTTTGGGTATAATAATATGCAGCTGCCAACTCTTAGTGAATCTTACCTTGGCCAGTTGTGCTTGGAGTTTGTTCTTTGCATCAGATACTTCAGCAACATGATTATTAAAGGCTAAGTTAATCCTGGATAAATGATTCCACATCTCCTCAAATGTGCACTCCAGTCCAGCCTCTGCATCCTTTCAGGGCAGGACAGAGTTGGCCCCTGCATGTTGAGAGCACCTGATATTGATTCCACTGAATTTAGCCCAGGAACTTGTTGCAGGAACTGAAACACTTGTAAGGAATTTAACATAACTTGCAGCCTAAGCCTCTGGCTTCAAAACTGCTGCTGCAGTGTAAACTACTGTCTTTGGAGTTAAATTCACCACTTTCTTTAATGCTTTGCTTAGCCTGCTAGATCACTCCTCTCTTCACCTAAGTATTTAGTGTGTTCTATGGAAAGTAGACAAACTTCTGTCTGCATTTAAACTTCTTTCCCAACATAAAACTTTTTTTCTAAAAATTTTACCTGTATGCTAAACTCTGCAAGGATATATCACTATATTTTGGTTTTCACATTTACTCTACATTTTAATTGAACCCTGGGAGTAAATATTAAGGGATGCAAAAAGAAAAGGGTAATTTTGGTTTTGTCAGTGCTTGTTGTCTCAGTAGCCTTTCTTCAGTTTTTCATAGGGTGTTCCTCTGTCTCCAAACTGAAGTACTGATCTTCCTAAATGATTTGGAATTCCTTAGTGCTGCACACTTATTTAGGCAGCTGCCCTGAAAAGTTTCAGGCAACCAACCTGATACGAAAGTACATAAGTCAGTCTACAGAACCTGAGCTGGCTGTGCTTACAGCTACTGATCCAGACAATCTTGGTGTATTTTCTGCAGGATATTTGCTTTGGGATTTTTTCCTGCTCTACGATCTGATGGATTATATTCATCTTCTCATCAGAAAATTAAATTTCCAAGTAGGTTTCCATCTTGACTATCTGAAATACTTAGTACTTAATCTGTTCTTTAACATTGCTTTTTCAGGTTGTAATTTATCCATCTGGGTCTATGGAGGCAGAAAACACCTGCTCTGCTCCTGAGTGCTGCAGGTATGTCTTGGGCTGCCAAGTGGTTTCAGGAAAACATTAGTGAAGAATGTAGTTTCTTTGGATAATGGATGGTGAGAAAGGAAAAGGGCTGCAAAACTTATCCACATGAATCTGCTTTTTACTAGAGCTGACAAGAATAATTTTATTCATTGCTAATCCTAAAAGTAGGTAGTGTTACTGGAGTCAGCAGAATGCCTGCCAAGTTTCCTTTGGATATGCCCTCGTTTCAGTAGTGAATGAGGTGATCTTTTAATGAAAAGCAGAGCATAAGTAAACAAATAATACTGATTTTTTTTTTCTCCTTCCAACAAGACAGAGTCGTTATCATTTGAGATTGTGAAGTACATTCACCATTCAAGCACTGCTATGTTAATGATAAAGGAACTAACAAGTCATTAGCACAAAAACACTGCCCTCTATTGCAAGATGCTCTGCTGCTGCTATGGCACTTGGATTGGATGCAGGGCTTGATGAGGACACTGCTAATAAACAATTTGAAAACTGCCTACAATTGGGACATTTTAGTTCAGTAATTTTCTTTCAGTCTGTAGCACTAAAGCTGTGCCAAATGGACTAATTTCACAACAACCCAAGCTCTTGGTGAACATTTATGTGCTGTTTGCTGCACTTACCTGCACACCTCAGCTGAATTTTTATTTGGTTTGATGTGGTTTTGAAACCTGAAAGCCACAGAACAGTGTAAATCAAAACAAGGGGGGACCCTGCACAGTGGAGTTTGAGGGCAAGGAGCCAACTGCAGCAGAGCTGTAACCAGGACCCAGGATGATGATGGAGGGTCTCACACCAGGGAAAAACAGGGCCCTGAGGAGAGAGAAGCCACTTCTTTCTATATCACTTCTCAAAGATAAGGCCTGGGCTGAATCAGGCTCTTGCTTACAACAGGGAGTACGCACAGTGAAGGCTGCAGCAGCCACTAGTACTCACATATCTGCTGCTTTTTCCACTCCATGGTAAAAGTTGATGCTGTCCAATGTGTTCCTCAGGTTAATAATAAAATAGGTTGAGTTTTTGTCAGAAAAATCCATCTCCAGGGCATGCTGTACATCTCTGTTGATATATATATACACACACTGCGTTACAGCGTATCTTGTCTCAGAAAGCTGCAGGACCTTACCCAGCGAAAAAAAAGGAGAGATAATTTTAAAGAAATGGTCACTGTCAGTTAAATTTATCTTCTCATGATGTTTAAAACCTACATAAATAAACTATAGGGCAGTGAGGGACAAGCAGTGGAGCCACACACAAGGGTGTGTAAACAGGGTAAGATTGATACTGCAAATGCTCACACACACAAAAAAACCCTCCTCCTGCAATAACTGATGGAACTAATTCTCAGCAGCTGCCAAGGAGGGTAAAGTTATTGCTGAGCATGAGATTGCAAGAGTGCTGGCAGAGCCCTGGGCTGAGCTCAGCCTGGCTTGAGCACTCCAAGGCCTGGTGTTCACCCAGAGAGCCCTGCACAAGGAGCCCTTGCTGGCTCAGAGCAAGAGGGGTGCTAAGGAAGAGATTCACTTTCCCCTTTTTGGTCCTTTTTGTGGGGAATGTTCTCTATAACTTTGGGAACAGGAAATAAACAGTTGGCCCCAAAAGAAAGATATTTGAACACATACCTCAGTTTAATATGTGAAAAGTCCTGCAGACATCAGTGAATCTAATCCATATGTTTGACAGGAAGCACAGACCTAAAGTGCCATACGGGGCTGTGGTCTTACACAGAGCCAAATTTTTCATGGGCAAGGTACAGTATAAATTTCTGATATGTCTTCCTGGCCAGTTTTCCTCCCACCACAGACATTTGAATTTGCTTAAGCATTTGGCTCCACTTCCACGTAACATTTTCATTAGTTTCCCATAGAAGGAAATTACAGAGCAGGAAGTTCAGGAGCTGTACAAGTATCCAGGGGTGATGAGCATTTGCCTGGGGTAAATACACTTGAAATGGGAAATGGGTAATAGCCTATTTATTAATGAGCAAAAAAACAGACCAAGCTCCTCAATTACCTTAATGAAATGTATTTTCAGATTTTTTTCTAGGTTTGTTTTTTGTTTTGGTTTGGTGCGTTTTTTTGTTTTCTAGGTGGACCATCATTCAGTTTTTGTGTGCATTTTTCCAATGCAAAGTGGTCACATTGTTTGATGCATTTTTCTGGACACCAAAGCTTTACTCCTGTGCCAACTGTTCCCATGCTCTTGCTGCATCTCCTATGGTTGGAATTCTGAACATCGTGACATGAGAACTTTAACAGTGGTGGGAAAATGAAGGAAAGGTGAAAAGGTTGTCAAAGATCTTGTAAGAACATTTTTTTCCTCTTATGGGACGTGGGTTTAGTGCTGGACTAGATTGGAAGCATTTTGAGGTAGGAATTGCCTTTTGGTGGATGTTGGTGGGGTATCCTCAACAGGTCTGTCTGGGTGAGTCAGGTTACACACACAACTCTCTGCCAGGTGCACTGCCAGCCCAAGCAGCACCAAGACTTATCACCAACACTGGCAACTACTTCAGTTCTTAAGCTGTGATGTTACAAGTGGAAGACAGGACAAGGCTGTGCTAAGGCAGCCAGGGGAGAGACAGGCAGGGAGCAGGAACTGGGATAAGGTGACCAGGAATAGGGGCCATCCTGTATCACAAGCTGGTGCATACTTCCTTGGTTTGGAAAATTAATTTATTATTAATCTATTTCATTATTTTTTTACTCACCAAGCACAGTGACTATCTGATTGCTCAGAAGTTGACTGGCCAAGTTAAGGCAGAATAATCTTCCAAATGAATGTACCCATTAAATTATTGGAAATTGTCTATCAGCAAGATACAGAATTAATATACTCAGAATTGACACGAAATACCGCAAGAGCGCAATTTTACTGGAATGATACATAATTTCCTGGGTATGAAACTTGTGAAACACAGCAGTGAAGTGCATTCCTGTGTCACGCTGTCCTTGGCAGCTGTACAGCGCTTTGAGCAGGCTCAGCGCTGGAGCACGGCTGCTTCCAGCGGCCGATCGTGGTGCGGGCACAGAGCCCCCGTGCTCAGCCCCGGGACCCCGGACCAGCCGGGCTGCGGCACCGGGAGGGCTCCGTGCAATTAATGCTCCATTTGTTCTGCCTAACGCAGTCCCAGAGGAGAAATTCCACGGTGGCTGCTGGCAGAGCTGGACCTGCCGTAGCTGCGGTACCGGCGACATGAGCCGGACCCCGGCGCGGTGAGCCCGGACGGGGCTGCTCGGGGGTGTCACCGGAGCCCCCCGGAGCAGAGTCCCCGGGGGTGTCAGTGAAGCCCTCCAGGGATGTCACTGAGGCTGAAGAGGGTGTCAGTGGATCCCTCCGGCGGTGTCACCAGAGCCCCCCGGAGCGGAGCCCCCAGGGGTGTCACCGAAGTCCCCCGGTGGGGTCAGTGGATTCCTCCGGGAGTGTCAGCAGAGGTCCCGGCGGTGTCCACCGGGTCCCCTCAGGATTCACCAGAATCCCCCCCGATGGTGTACCGGGTCCCCTTCAGGAGATGTACCAGTCCCCCCCGAGGTGTCACCGGGTTCCCCCCGAGGTCTCACCGCGGCGCCGCAGCGCCCCCCTTGGCGGACGCGGCCCGCGGCGGAGGCCCCGCCCCGGGCCGGCCCCGGCCCGCGGGCGGAGGTGACGCGCTGTTCTGGCGGACGCGGCTGGGCGCGGCGCGGCCGAGGCGTGAGCGGCCCGGGCGAGGGAGAACGGCTCGGGCCGGGACGGGCCCCCCGTCGCCACAACCCGCCGCCACAGCCCTCGCTGTGCCTTGCAGATGTTGCCGGGTACCGGCAAGCGCCCAGGCGGGCAGCGCGGCCGCCTGCAGGGATTGCCCCACCAGGGGCTGTGCGCGGCCGGGCCGCGCCGGGCCGCGACCGGGTGAGTGTCGGGGCCGTAGGGCGTTTTGGGCGCGTCGCGCCTCTGGGGGGGCCGTGAGGGGGCTCCGGGGCGGTCCGAGGGGCCCCTGTCGGAGTCCGGGCCGTGCGGGGGCCGCTCTGACGCCCGGTATCGCCCCCAGCCGAGGCGCGGAGCTGCCCGGGCGCGGCTGCGGGCGCGTGCGGCACACGGTGCTTGGTGCTGTCGGCAAGGGCGGCGTGGGCAAGAGCACCTTCAGGCGCCGCCCTTGCGCACGGTGCTGGCGGCCGCGAGCACAAAGCAGGTGGGGCCCGGGGCTGGCGGGAGGGCACCGGCCGTGTGCCCCGCTCGTTAGGGCTTGGCCTTCGTGCATGAACCCCGCTAGGGTGTTCTCGCTGCGTGAGTTCGCCCTGGGGCACGGCCCTGTGCCGCCTTGTTTCCAGTGGGGCGCGTTGGCCGGTTTGTTTTCCAGGTTGCTCTGCTGGACATCGATATCTGTGGGCCATCGATCCCTAAAATAATGGGTCTGGAAGGAGAACAGGTGAGTGAATGCTCCAACGTGTTGCTTAAAGGATTTCTGCTCATTGTTTCAGTAATGTCCTTGGGCTCTGTAGGCTGAAAGCTCGTAAAGGATTTTTTATTGGAAAGTGGCAGTGGGTAGGGAAATAAGGTGAGATGGAGGAGTTCAGCATAATTTATTTTGTAAAAGAGCCATTTGCCTTCAGGATGAGCAGTTCTGCAAAACGGCTTTCATTGCGCAGTGTCCACATACTCGTGATAGCTTAAAACCTGAGTAATATTATCATGATGGGCCTTATCAGCCCTCGAGTATTTTATATAAATATACAAAGTCATGGGTAAACTTGCATAAGGGTTGAACAGTTATTGTTCACTTACTGATGGAGATCTGGTGCTCCTGCAGTTTTTACCTCAACCACCCCAATAAAGCAGGATTGTCCCTGCAGGCAGGAAAGCTGTTACCCAGGTTTGACTTATGTTCATGTTTTGTGTAACATCTGTATTTATTTCTCTTATAACTTTATGTTTCACTTCAATTTTCAGGTTCATCAGAGTGGATCTGGATGGTCTCCAGTGGTGAGTTGGTGCAGCTGTTTCAGAAAGTTTATTGGGTTTGTTTGGGTTGGGCACTGTGTTCTGTGTTCAAAAATGAGTGAGGGAGAAGCAGGAGGCACTTCTGTTAGTTCTTTTTCTAATTACGTAAATATTCAGCTTCTATAGATACAAGATATAGAATATACAAGATATAGAAGATATACAAGATACATATACAGGATATAGAATCTATAGATTCTGTGTTTCCAGATTTTATATCCAGATTTCATATTTATCCAGATTCTACAGAACATACAGAGAATGCTATAGAATATATTTACAGGTACTATAGAATCTGGATGTACACTCTATAGGTTCAGAGTGTTAAATTTCTTTTGTTAATTATAGTAATACTGTATCTCTTGTTTACTGATTTCCCCACTGCAGGCAATAAATATAAATATAAGTTCCTCAGTTTTGTTATTTGGAGTATCAATCAGCTGTGTAGTGTGTCACTTTTTCTGTGACAGCCAAGAAGTACCTTGCACACAAGGAAAACCTCATTAATCTTTGCAAAATGCAGGGAGAGTTTTGCAAGAGGTAGCTTGTAGTGTGCTCTTAAAAGGGCAGCTTGGGCTGAGAGGGAAAGCTGTTTTTATCCTTTTGTTGTCTCCAGTGGTTCCATAAACTGCTGTAACAGCTGCATTTTTTCAGTTTGAGTGTAGCTTTTAATGCCCTGTGATAGAAGATAAGGTTCTCTGCCTTTATTTTATTAATGTCTTCTCCTCCAGCTGCTTTTTCTATAAAATAGGGCTTCAGAGTTGGTTTCTTTACTCTTTCTTCACTGCTCTGTTTCTCTACTTCTCTTTCAGTATGTTGAAGAAAACTTAGGTGTCATGTCAGTGGGGTTCTTGCTTAGCAGCCCTGATGATGCAGTCATCTGGAGAGGACCAAAAAAAAATGGTGTGTATCAAGTGTATCAACAATGATTCATGTACTTAAAAGATTTCAATTATGTAAATACCATGACCTTTTTTAATAACGTAAATATAGTATAAGCTATAAGGAAAAAAGGAGTGAAGGGTTTATTATTTCTTTCGTTGAACATGCTCATTTGGTGAAGTTAAAGGTCAGATGATGTCTTTTTGTTTATATTTTTTTAAGCTTTGTCAAAATACATGTTTTTGTCCTGAAGCGGACTAGTCAGAAGAATCTTCTGCCTGGGCTGCAGGAGTAGAAGTACTCCCTAAAATCTGAAATATGGGGAGATCCTTTTTTTCCTCTTTTTTCACATTCTTATCCTTCCTTTTAGGGCTGATCAAGCAGTTCCTCCGTGACGTGGACTGGGGGGAGGTCGATTACCTGATCGTGGACACACCGCCGGGGACGTCGGACGAGCACCTGTCCATCGTGCAGTACCTCAGTGCCACCCACATCGATGGGGCTGTCATAGTCACCACCCCGCAGGTATGGGGCATGAATTTCCATGGAGAAGCAACTCACAAGTTAAAGGCAGTCCTGGGGTTAGAGGCTGTTGAACTTCAGAGAAACCTGAGGGTACGGAATCTCAGAGGACTGACTTTGTTGTGTTGTGCTGGCGTGTGGGTTGGGTGGGTGTCTCAGTGGAGCTGGGCATCCCACCGAGTCACTAAACCACAGGGCAGTTCACAATTAAAAGCTGTTGTGATCTGTGTGGTGAAAGGAAATGCAGTGTTTCACTTCCTTCTTCAAAATTCACATCCTTGTGGATCTGTAATTTACTCACCAATGGCTTAATGCTCTGAAGAATGTCAGTAAGAAGTTTAGTTTTTAAGTGATAAGCTGTGCACTGTTTGACACCTGTGAAGTAGCCTGTCACCTCCAGTAGGCAGTTTTGTCATGTGCATTTTTAAAAGAGAAATCAGCCCCTGGCAAGCTGAAACTCAGAATATGTCCAGTTCAGACAGAGGTTTTAGTGCCTGGTTTGGAGAGGAACAGGAGCAAAAGACGTGTAGTATTTCCACAGCAGCTGGAAGGATAACACGTAAAGGAAGTGGAAGTGGTGAGAGTGATACTGGAGAGGTGGTGAGGGAAGGAAAAGAGAACAGGAGAATGAGTGAGGGCAAGCATATATGCAAAAAACCTGAGGACAAGATATTTCAAATTTATTTTGGAAGGCGTAACAAGTGTAAGCCTGGTGGTTCTTGTCCTTGCTCTGTGGACAAGGCTCCTTCTGTAAACTGAAAACGTGAAAAAGTTGCCTTAAAAGAACTGAAAGTATGAGGTGAACATAGGAGATAAATGTGGGTGAATCTTGATAGGGTCAGATTTTGAAACAGAACCACATCCAGTAGGCTGGAACTGTTGGACCTGCTCTGTTGCTCCTCAGAATTGTTGCTAGAGCACGTAGCACAGATTTCTGTTCCTCAAAATATTAAGACAGCAGTAATAATTCATCATAAACTCTCCTTAAAATAGCTCTAAGGAGGTAACTGAATGGATTCAACATGAAAACATGACAACTGAAATATGAGCCTTTGCTAATATTTGCAGGAAATCTCGCTTCAGGATGTTCGGAAGGAGATCAACTTCTGCCACAAGGTGAAACTGCCCATCATAGGTGTTGTGGAAAACATGAGTGGCTTTGTGTGTCCAAAGTGTAAGGTAAGGCTGTCTGGGTGTTACAGCATTTTTACCATGGCACTGTGTATAAAACATTGCTCAAAAAATGCCTTGTTCTCAGAATTGCAGTATTTTTAACTCTGGTTTTCCTGTTGTCCCAGAAAGAATCTCAGATCTTTCCCCCAACTACTGGTGGTGCAGAGAAGATGTGCCAGAATTTGAATGTTTCCCTCCTGGGTAAAGTGCCTCTGGATCCACAGATAGGTAAAGTTATTTATTGCACTGCACCTAAAACAAGTTGTTCCTCCTGTACTGATGTTATTACTGGAAAAGCCTGATGTGGGCACTGATGTCTCTTAGGTAAATATCCACTTTTAGATAGAAGGTTTTTTTGAATCTAAAGTTACTGGAACTGTGACATAGCATGATGTGAATGAGGGAAGTGCTCTGGTAATTTCCTTAACCTGAAACTTTAATCAGTTAAGATTAGATGATGCATCTTTTCAGCTCTGTAATCATATTTGAAATACAACATGTCTTTCTCTTTGGTGCAATCACCTGGAAATGCAGGCTGAATAAAATCATAACCACTTCAAAGAATAATACCTCGTAGATGTTAAGCATTAAAACTAGTGCTTAACAAATTCTGCCCAAATTCTGTTGTGGGTTGTGAGGTGTCTTGATTCCTCTTCCACCAGCTGTTACAATTAATACCTGAACTAATGACATTAAGGAACAGGTCAGTACTCTGAACACAACAAGTGAAGGTTTCTGCCAACACAGTTCCTCTGTAAAACTGTAACCTGTGGTTGTAGTCCTGTTACTGACATCAGGGCTTCCTAAAAGGAATAGATGTAGGTGGCTGTTTGAAAGGGTGTCACTGGAGTGGGATAAAGGGTAAAAAAAATAAAAGCTCATCTTTTCTTGTTGCTTTGCTTTTGTGTTTTTCTCTGTCCTTCAAGGAAGAAGTTGTGACAGAGGCCAGTCATTCCTGTCCGAAGCACCAGATTCTCCAGCTACATTGTCTTACAGGAATATCATTCAAAGTAAGTCTGAGAATCACTGTGCACTCTCGGTTCCGAGCACTGCTGCAATATATAAAGGTGTAAAACAGGATTATTTTGCCACAAATAATAAAACAGGAAATGTGCATAGCAATTCTGAAAGTAACAGCTGCAAATACCACGTTTGCTTCTGGGCATTGGTTGTGACAGGCTTTTAAAGCCCTGAGGAGATTGTGTTTGATAGCTGGCTTCCGTGTTTGGTTCAGTCATTCATTTGCAGAGATGTGTGTGCCCTTCCTCTCACAGAAGAGTTCTGAGGTTCTCAAGCAGGCCTGTGGAGGGTGCTCTCCATAACCCATGGGATGCAGCTGGCTAATTATGCCTCCACTTCTAACTGTAAAGGCACAAAACTCCCATTCAAAAACCACCTAAAGAGCTGGTGATGTGCTGTTACAAGATGCAGACAGCTGGGAAATTCCTGAGGCCATTTTCACCCTGATAAAGGTCCAGCTTGAGATATTTGTACCAACAGGGGATACAGTGATGCAGCAACAGCAGACTCCTGATGTGCAACTGAAATACCATTTATATTACATTTTCCATGTCTTTGCAGGAATTCAGGAGTACTGTGAACAACAACATTCTCAAGAAGAAAAGATGATCTAATCTGTGAATGGAATAAAAAATGTAGCTCTTGTTTAAAAGTAACTTATGCCTTGATTTAATAGAAGGAATGTATTCTTTTTGTATATTGCAAATAAATTCTTAATATAAATGTTCTTGCCTTAGTGTTTGCCATAGTTCAGGATTCTTGTAGTTGTTCCCTCGCTAGAAAGCTGTGAAACTGTGTCTGCATATGGGTTAAGAGGTGCATTCTGCCTGTGGTGTCGTGGTACTGATAACCTGACTGTGAAGTTGGCATTTGAAGACATGGAAAACAAGATTTTGTTCAGGCAGTTGAATATAAAATATGCTGGGCTGACACTGGGGCACCATGTAATGTAGCTGCTGTGGTGTGCAGGCCTTTGTCCTGCCTGCTGTGCTGGGGTGAACTGTAATGCCTGGTTCTGCCTCAGAATAACTTCATTTAAGGGTCTTTCCTTCCAGTGGAGATCCATCTCTAGAGTGAAATTCAGTGTAGTATTATAGCACAAGAACAGCATTTTATTTATTTTTTTCCACAGATATCAAAATAAGATTAATGTATTTTAACAATACCTAACTGCCTGCTTCACACAGGCACTGTGTGAACATACCCCCTGAATTTTGTTTTCTTCTATTTGACCCTGAGCCTCAATACTAAATAAACATTCAGTATCTTTAATAACTAAGAGGCCCTTTGGGATTGTAACTCCTGTTTTTATTGAGGAAGCAAAGCTTTGAAAAGTGAGTATTGTGTACAAGAGGGAAAGGCAGTTTGATTTTGTCTGTTGTAGTTCCAAAATTAAACAACTTAGCATTGTCTTTTCATTACATTTAATTCTTGGCTAAGATAGTCCAGCACTTTCTGGTTAGTTTTCGTGGAAGCAGCTTGTTCTGTATAAATCATTTTTGGGGAAGCTTTTAGGTTACAAAAGCTCTAAACCTTTCAGCATCTAAAGACTCAAACACAAATGACATTATTTCATGCAGGCATAATTCTAGAAGAGCTTTATTTAAATATCTTCATGTGAAGAACAGCTTTCATGAATTAGTAGTTTTACTGCTCATCCTTTGAGTTCTTCCTTGTTTGATTACCTAGGGACTGCCTTGCCATGTTCTTCAGTTCCATCTTCTGAAATCCTCCTGCTCTGCCCTGCAGAGTGAACAGAGGACACGTGGCTGTGAGCAGAACCTGGGACATGGGAATCTTTATAAAAGCAGGGAAGAGCCCAGTGGAAGCCTGGGGGTTAAAGATGGCTCTCCCAGCTGTGCCTGAGCAGAGGCATTACATTCCAGTTGGGTAACTCCAAGGGTTTCATTTCAGAGGACATTCTTCCTGAAGCTTGGAAGCCACTCAGTTGTGAAGCTCAGGAGGCTTCCAAACACAGAGCAAAGTGACCTGGGGTAGGGCCCTTCTGTGTGACACTGCAAGAGAGGCTTGTTGGAGGATCAGGATCACCCTGCCAGGAGTTCTTGTGGGAACTGAGACCTGGGAAGAGCCAGAACCAACCATGAGAGGTGGGTTGGCCTGTGCTGCCTCACGGGCTGTGGCTGACAGACAGCTCAGTACTTACTCTGGGGAACATCTGCTGTGCCAAACAACCTCGAAGTTACTCTGCTGATGGTTTTTTGTCCCCCTAATTTGCAGTGGATGTAGCCATACAAATTAGCAGTCTGCAGGGAGATCCCAGCTATCACGAGAGCCTGTGGACAAACAGAAGTTCAGCAGGGACAAATACACCACTACATATCAACTGTGTAGGACCTACACACGTGTGTACCTGTACATACCACCTGGAGAAATGTGTGCTGTAAGAGAGGGATAGTCCTTCCAATAATAAATGACCTTCAAAGAGAAATCAATCTTGTCAAACACAGTAGTTCCTTCATACAAAATGCCTCTTTTATCAGAACACTGATACCAGTTTTGTCATTCTGTATCTTTAAAGACTTCATTACTTTCCTGAAAACACTTACTCAAAAAAGGAACTTCTCAACAGATTCCAGAAACATTTCATGTTTTTGAAGCCTGAGTTGTATCTAAAAGTTTCACATCCAGATCCATGGTACACTGCAGGCCTGGTTAGCTGCCAAATGCCTTAGATACAAATAAGATCCTGTAATTTACAGATTTACAAAGAGCATCCTTAGATAGGAATCCCTATCTAGCATTGATAGGCAGTGAAAGTAACTGACTCCTTTTGTGGTACTACAGGCTTGGCAGCAGGTGGGATCCATCTGACTAATGGAATAACTTACAAAAAGTATTTCTCAGCCCCAGGACCAGTTTCCTGGAAGGACCTCATTTTCATTTGTGTAACTTGCCTTTTACGAGCACCTGAGCAACCTGCCTTCAGAGCCAGTTGGGGTTCTGTCTCCAGCCAGTTCTTGGCTTAGCAAACAGTCTCTGGTTTTCAAAAATAAAGGTGGAGCCATGAACAAAGAGTGCTGGTTTAATTTTAACTGTTGCTTTTTTAGCTGTGCCATTTGGGGCACCAAAAAGCAGTTAATGATTTACCGACAGCTAAATTTCTTGTTTAATCAAAAAATAAAATGTAGTCTTGGCTGTTAACTGGTGATGTGGCTGCACATGTTGGAGGTGCCTTTTATCTTTTCATACTGACTTAAGAAATGATCCTGAGCGTGGCTGGGGACGTGACAGTATGAATTCTGTGGTGATTATCCAAGCACTTAATGTTTGCAGGGGAAAACATGAAGATTTCATAGACAAAAATATCTTAATGTAATGCAATATATGGGGTACATTTCCTCTTGTATTTAGGGAAAAAGTGTTGGGTTTTGTTTTTTTTGTAAATAGAGTAATTATAAAATACATACTCATAGCTCCATTTATCAAGGTTTTAAGCACTAATGATGCTGGTTCTTTCAAAAGGGAATGGTACAAGAGCTCTAAAATCCTTACTTTTCAGAGTAAGTAGCATTCAAATCCCAAGGAGACTTGAAAACCTGAAAACCAGCATCACCAGCTCATTTTTTGTACTCTTCCAATAGTTTCATTTGACTGAAATAAGTTGGGGAAGAGTAAGTTGCTACAGTTAAAAAGAAGGCCAAAATTTTGCCCACCACTTGAGCTTCTCCAGTCACATGAAGGAGTTGACATCCAATAACCCATTAGAAGTGCAGCTAAAAATTACTAATCCATTCCAGAGCGCAGGGCTTGACTGCAGAAAAATCCTTGGGGTTCCTTGAAGCTGTCGGTGGGATTTTTGTACTGTTGGAAGATTTGGTTCAAGACCAACAGATCTGGGGTTTCCCTCTACCAGGATTATCTGTCAGCTGTAGATCTTTCATTATCCCCTGACTCACCAGCCATTTCAGCTTCAAGGAGAACAAGGTGCTAAAGAGAAACAGTGTCCAAATCACAGGGCAGATGATGAGACCAAGCCAAAAGATTCGGGCTTCAGCTTCAGTTGAGGCAGCAATTGTAGGCACCTGGAAGGAAAATTATTGAAACTACCAGTCACCAAGCCAAAATGCACAATAAATGACAAATATCTGGGCTCTGGAGGGAGAGCACAACACCTCAGAGCAGGCTGCAAAAGCCTTGGTTACAGACTTCTTCAGGTCAGCACAACTCACATGTCCTTACTGGAAGGCTCGTTGTTAATGACTACACTTTAAAAAAAATAAGGAAGAGAATTGTACAGAAGGTTCTGATCTTTCCAAAGTTTTTGAAACCTTACTCCAGACCTCAGACCACTCAACCACCATCAGTGTCAGCTTCTGAAACACAGAGCTTCACACCTAGAAAAGAAAACCCTCTGGACTCTTCCACTCTGAAAACTGAAAAGCCTTTTAGGTAATTTTCAGTATATTGAATTTTCCATGTAAAAATAAGACTAACCCATCCTTCCCCCATGAGGCAGACATTGTCATGCAACTTGTAAATGTGGTTAAATTACTCCATCTTGCCCAAGAAAACCCTGAAAGATGCAACCTTTGAGGTGTCTTAACTTTTTCATGTACCCTCTAGACCAATGATGTTGCAGAGGTCCAAAGAATAACGTTCTATGCCTTCACAGTTACAGAAAAAGACAGATCCTCTGAGTCAATAAAAGGGTTTAATCACTTGTATCCTAAATTACTGACACATTACCCAGTAGTGGCATTGCATTGCACTATGTAGGAGGAAAAAACCCAAAGCCAAAGTCAATACACCTGAGAACTTTACACCTGAAAGACTTGGTTAATTTGGTGGAAGATTACAAAAGGCTGCAGTCAGCAGACTTGTAAGAACTGCTTTTCTTTCAGCAAGCATCAGCAGAAAGCAGAGTTTTGGAGATGAACCTCTGTTGCAGCAACCACGTGCCAAGAATTAGTTGTTGGTGAGTGACTTGGAATATTTCTAAGCGTATTTACCCATAAAGCAAGAGATCTTAACGAGCTGCCAGAGGACTGGTAAAGGAGATGGGAGAGATGGAGATGGGAATGCCTGACTTTGGTAAGGAAGAGAACTGCATGTATTCCAGGACCTTGCTATGACAAAGTCTTTCTCATGGATAAGCCATGGCAGAAATACAATCTATATGTTCCTTCCTGTGGTACTATAATTTTCACATTAATAAAGTCACCACTTGCCAGGAATTTTAGAAGATTTTAGCCCATGCAGGTGAATCAACTTGGTACTTCTAGGCTAGAATTAAAAACTGTGACAGGTGAACAAGGCTTGCTCATCTCTCAGTAATTTTGAGGTCTGGAGGTCACTTTATGGATGCCGTTGCTTTTAAGTGCTGAGAAAGCTCTTGGTTCGTGTCTCCACAGAACTAAGGCACTCTGACAGTCTTCTGCTTTCTTTTCTTTCGTGTAGGGTTGTCTGCCTTTAGCTTCCCTTAGGTTACGGGGCACACGCGGGTGTGTGTTCTCCGCTCAGGGGAGCGCTGAGCTCCGGCCCGGGCGGGGCTGCAGAGGGCACTCCAGCCCCGCACAGCCTCCTCCTGCCCGGCCGGGACCACAGCCGGGAGAACCCGAGGGATGGATGGCCCAGTGAGCAGCACTCGGGCGCTGTTCTGCCAGGCTCTTCCCCGAGTCAGGCTGTGGAAAGCAAAACTCTGAGTCTTGACTCTGGCAGTGACGCCAAATGCCATTTTGTAGCTCGTTTGCTCAGGGTGTTTG